AGGGTTAATAACATACCAAAATGCCATACAAATGTGTATGTATGTATGTATATCGGATGAGTAATGACGATTTGAATAATGGAAAGTCCAAAGTAATTAATTCTGCGACTTCTTGACAAACCAACTTCAACTCAGCTATTCTGTTTTTTGTGTAAGTTGCTGGATTCTCATCCAAAAATTTGGTTAATTATATCGACAATTTAACAAAAAATGTTAATACAAATTCAATAGCAACATATTAGATGTGGGAATCGGGAACTACTCAGTCCTTTCCTATCCACAATTTTTTATTTTTTCATTTTTGCGCTAGAAGGCTTCTCAGCAAACGATAGCACTTAACAATTAACTGAAGTATGAAACAATTAAAACCAAAGCCGAACACATATATGTACATATGTAATAGTTACATTTAAAAAATAAATAATTAACATACACACTTACATATATATATTAGACAATAGTTGCATTTAATTTTTGTATGTGAACGTTGATTGTCGAATATTTATGTTTTTAACGACGAAAATTTATTGAAAAAAGAGTCCAAATTACATGTTTTATAAACATAATTACACCCCTACATACATGTGTGTGTGTGTATGTATACCCAACAAGCAAAATAAACTTAATGTAGGTTTTTTAAAAGTTTACAAAAAAAAAATGTAAAGCTTACAAAATGCAGATTTTTTATTTATAAAACGCTTGAAAAAAAACGTAATATAATCGAAATCGAATAAATATTAAGAGAAAGTATTTTTTCTTGGTTTTGTCGTAAATAGTTGCATTTAACTTTTAAAGTTCAGAGATTCATAAAAATAGGCTCTCAACACAAAAATAAATGCAATATGACAAAACGCTTGTTTAACACTTAAATAAATAAAGCAAGCTGCTTTTAGACAGAAAAATCCTTGTTGGGTACATACATACATGTAGGGTATATGCAAAATATCATTTAAGAATGAGTGATCTCTACGCAAAAATTTTGACTGACTTTATTATTATTAATGTATTAGCAATCAAGACTGAAATGGCCCATTTTTGGCACAAAAGCTCGCACAAAGCTACATGGGAATGTAAGCCCATCCTTGTAAACGGAAAATTTAATAGGTATAAAAACTTACAATTCACATAAGAAACTATGCATGCACAATGTGTATTAAGTGGGAGTGTTAATGCAGTAAGATTTCTCTAAAAAATATATAATTGAAAAGGCAACCAAACACTATGTAAATAAATGTCGTTTAATTATGAATACTGCAAATATATGTAATGTACAAGAATGATTGAGCCACAAAAATTCGTACTTCCGAGACAAGTCCAAAATACGCAAATCTTCATTAGAAAACAGAAACGAAAAAGATCGGGTCATGGCTACCCTACCCGCATAAACTGGACTTCATAAGGTGATGTAAAACTATTAGATTACTTAGTAGTGAAATTAGTTCAAAACATTTAATTATTTGGATACTTAATGCATTATTAACTATAACATTCATTGGCAGTCGGCTGCGGAATTGATGAAGCCAAGTTTTTCTGAAAGTCTGGATTGTATATAGAAAAATAATTTCGCAGTTTTCTCAAGTTGAAGGAACATTCGTGAGAAACATTGTTTGCACATTTCCTTCATGTTCCTTCCATCTAGCTGGCATCATAGTGCACCCAGCGACCGTTTTTGGCTAAAATAAATTGCAAATTCAAATTCCTCGAACCCAAAACCCCCCGAAAGGCGTTCAGTTGGGAGTATGTAAATGCAAACATCGATGTAACGAAAAAACGACACACTCGTTGGGCTCTAATTCAAACAAAAAAGCGACAGAGAAAGTAGGGGATGGCGGGGGTGGTTGAGATTAAGATTAGGATCAAGATTAAGATCGACATTGAGATTGATATTAAGATTAAAATAAAATAACTCTTCATTATCATATAGAAAAATACTCATACATATGTAGGTGTGTACATTAGGCTGGGCCGTTTTTGTATGGGGGAAAATAAAAGGCATTTGATCGTACTGTAATAGTAATATTATTTTGTCTTAGGTCTAAGCCAATAATAATTGGTCACGCAATATTAATTTAAAACATATATTTAGCGCGCGCAATTAATTCAAAGTTTATGAATTTGGAAAATTATACTTTGGCTGGTAATATCTATGGAATGCGTTAATAGTTATAACCTAGACGATATATCCAGTGAAAGGTTATTAAATTTAGTATCTGGCCGTCCATATAACATTTTTCAATAAGACTACAAGTTTTCGGGATATTTAGAAGCGATGACTTTCCCGTATGAGTTTTCAATTCTTCATTACTTTAGTTACCAAGTGAAAATTAAAAAAAAAAATTAAACGAGATTTATATCAAAGATTTTTAGGTTTTCGAATGTTTATATAATATTTAAAGGACCATGGACTTGGTCACAGGGCTGCCATCGTGGCTCAAACCGTGCCATTTTTGGCCCTATTTTACTTCAAATGGCACTCAATTTTTCAATTTGGCACAGTGCCAAAAATGGCACTTTTGAAAAATAGTAATATTTCAATACATTTTTGGGAAATCCTTTGCGCGTACTTCTTTTTCTCAACTAAAATTTTTTAATTTCTATGGTGTATACAACTGTTTTATCTTACTTTGGCATTGGTCTTTTGTTTTAGGAATGTGACCCTAGTTTGAATGCTAAATGGGATGAATCAAAAGGAATGACAACTTTTTTGCCACTTTTATTTTTCTATTTGGCATATTTTGGCACTTTTTTATCCTCAATATGGCACTTCATAGCTAAGTCTAGTTGGCAGCCCTGCTTGGTCACGCTAATTTGGCCAGTTTTCAAAATAGTGCCAATGAAATTAAATACGGATGTCCAAGATTGGGAATCATTTGATTAGTAAGTAGTAGTTTCAAACACATACATATGTAAGTACATGTATTAACTAAATAAATATTAGGTGGGCAACAACCATTTTGAGTCCATTTATGTATCTTTGAAAATTAGAGCGGAATGATTTCATTAGTTCCCGAAGAAGAACGTTTTTCGCGGTTTTTTAAATTTACCTTTTACGAAAATAGGGGAGTGACCGTAAGTAAATGCGCCATCCTCTTGGTACTCTCCAATTGGAGATATAGCTTTGTATTCGACTTCAACGAAACAAGTCAATACATGGCACACTTTTCCGTAATCGTTTGCTTATATTTCCGAGTTATTTATATTTTTTTAAGAGACTGACTAAACTTATTAGCGTTTGTGCAATTTGTGCAAGTTCAGTGTTTCCATATTCATTTGCATAAATGAACTTTTTCCACGGTGATGGAAAATAAAGCTCCCGAAAATGGTTCCAAATTTGCAAAAATTCGCGAAGTATAGCTAATATGAAAAACAGATTAGTATATTTGGAATCAGCGATCAACAGAAAAATTACAATAAGGTTGAAAAATAGATAAGTTTGAGAGGAGCCATAAATTAAAGGGCTGCCAGAGATGATATTTGACTTTGTCGTTTGCGTTTACAGATTCAGTATCTAATGCTATCCACCAAACCTTTCTGTTGAACCTTGAATTTTTACCAAGAATCCATCTTATTCGACCAAGGGTTTTTTAAATTTCAAAAACCTTTAAAAAATCCTGGCGTCAGAGAGAAAAAACTAAGTACGCAGGTTTACTATAACTTACCCATAGTTTCGCGAATATATAAATTTTTTTGTGTGTACAATTTACTGTCGCCGGTGTAATATGCTCTTTAAAATACATTCATGTAAGTTTAATGTAATTTGGTTTAGATCCGATCATTGGATCATGAAAAAAATTAACGGTACTCCAAAATTTGTATATGAGAATTGAAATCGGTTGTATTTTTTGCTTAAAAGTTACTTGTTTAATAAAAAGTTCTAGATGCGCTCAACTTTCAAAAGTAATAAAAAATGTTTAAAAAAGAGTTTTAATTATTAATTAATTATTTCACGGGGCAATATTTTGTTACCAGCTTATGAGACGGTAACCAAATTTACCGGTTACAAGAGAGCACAGAATGCGAAAAGGGTTTAAAAATTGACAGGAACTTCATTCACCGGTTACAAAATGTATGTTACCAGCGCAGAATAGACCTGTAAGTGTAAAACTGAATAAAGGCTCTGTTATGCATACTTGGCATTGCTTGAGAGTTGTCACATAAGGAATCTGTTAAATGAGCTTCGCGTGTAAGCGGTTACTCAGCGCACAGCATTACTTACGTATAAGTCTGTTAATTTAAAAATGGTATAGCACAGCATGCAATGCCAAGTATGAATAAAGGTAAAATTAGTCAAGAACGTAAACCTACCGGTACGTAAACCCGAGTCAGCTGACACGATCTGTCTTACCAGAGCGCCATGTAAATGAAAACTCAACACCGCAGAATTTTTCTGTAGTTGTTGAGTTTAGATTTTTCCGTGTCAGCTGATTTCTTCCTTCTATAGATGGTTGCCATTTCGTCAGTTTTGCAGATGGTAAAAACGTTATAAGTTCCTATTCAAAATACTTTTAAAATATTTGAAATTTACTATCGAACAAAGTTTTTTGTTGAAAAATAAGTAGTTTATATTTAACTACGATCTATTATAGCACGAAAAATTGTAGTGGAAAAGGTAAGTTTATGAAAACGCATTAATAAGTGGCAACACTGTAGTAAGCAACACTGAGGGCTCCAGTAATCGACAGAATTCTGCGTATACAGACAGCGTTTAAGTATAAGTTCTGCGTTCTTGACTAATTTCACCTTAACAAATCCTGAGGTCTGTTGGTTTTTGATTTCTACGTAAAAATTGTATAGCAGTGCATGCACTGCCAAGTATGCATAACAGAGCCTTAACTCTACGGAAGCATGGTATGTACATACATCAAAGTTAAAGATAATATTGGAGACACCCGAAACATAATCTACGCACAACAATCCAAACAATTCCCAAACTCCGAGCTTCACGTCGTTTTATTAACAACAATAACTTGACGTCATATATGAAAAGGCCATTTTTTTCGCTTCTGGCTTTTGTATTTCTTAATATTTATTTATTTATTTTACTGTTTTGAAAAAATAACGCTGTTAAACAACCATAACCATTCAAAACAATTTAAAACTTTAAATACAGATGTTTGTGAATAATAAAGTAACGGATTTGTACATATATGTAACACTGCAGTTTTATCAGACAAATACATTTGAGGAATGACGGTAAATATTTTCCTGAATATGTATGCATACATACATACATATATAGAAAAGAACATACGTTTGAAGCGAATTATGCTACAGATAAACTTGTTTTTTATCATCAGTAGGAACATCCAATTGCAATACTTAGAAAATCTTCGAATCCAATTGTTATAGTGCCGTTTTGCTGAGAGTCTCTTTGTCGAAAAGCCTCGGTGAAACGTTGAATCTGTACACACAAAACAATAAACTGATCCACAGAAATTTCCTTGTGCTCCCTGGGATCGCTCTTTTTTACCAGAAAATTTATGAATTCTGGTGTAAATCTGAAGCCCATTTGAGTGAAGGCTTTAAGACAACACAAGGTGATTATTATTTTTTTTGTTTAAAACCATAATCTACTATAAATATAAATGTCTTACCTTGCGCCAGCTCGTTTTCATCAATGTAGCCGCTTCCGTCCCTATCATAGGTTTTAAAAACCATTAGCCACTGATTTATGTATTCATAAAGTTTTTCAAATTCATAGATATCAATCATACCACTAGCATCCTTGTCAAACATACCTAGTAAAACAAATAAGCAAATTACATAAAATTAATGTATAATGTCTGAGTATTCCAAGCCATAAGTCTGCTTATACATTATATGCCAATTGTTGCCAAATCGTGACGCTGGTTGGCTAATTTGCTTGCGAATAATTAGTACGAATACAGTCATTATCCTTACTAATTATTCACAAGCAAAGCAACCAACTAGTACCACGATTTCGCAAGAAAAAAGTTCATGCGAATTCGTACGACTGAGTTTTCGTACGAATTCGTATCCAATGTAACAACACCCGTAGGTATTTCAGGCAAAGTATGTACATATCTGTGTTCGTACGGAAAAGTAGCTTATGTCGAAAGGCTGGCTTTGGTATAATGCGGCATTCGCAGCATCCGATTGCGAATGACTCATTGGCGCTGAGCCGTTTAAGAACTTTTGACAGATAAACGTGCAAGAACTAGTTCCGATGCTAGCAAGTCAATATCCTTATTCTTATCAAAAAATTCTTTGTCGTTTAAAGAATAAAGGGAATGCCGCATTATACTAAAGCCAGCTTCTAGACATTAGCTACTATTCCATACGTACACAGATATTCATAAAGAATTTTCATATGAACCTCGATGGGGATATTGAGTTGGCCAAGAAAATGCCGCCATACACTCTACCCTCCCCTTAACTCATTTTTTCCAAGCGTGGTCCCCTATAGGAAAATTTTCCCATAATCTGGGCTATCGCTGAATGCATCGTAGTCCAATTTTTGTAAAATATAACCTATACACTCAAACTGTATGCTTCGTTCATAGCTATTCGGATTCAGTGATAGCATCTTCGTAGATTTCACAAAAATTCGGACTACGACGGATTCAGTGATAGCCCTGAATAATTATCCACTTACTAATCATTAATTTGCAAGCATTATCTGAAAAGTTTTCGCCGCGGCCATTTATCAATGCGGCTTTCAGCTCACTGGAATTTATTTTCCCTGAACGATCCCGGTCGACCATATTAAACCATTGCTGTGCTTGGGGAGACACTTGTGCATTTTGCGGTGGAAAAGCACCAGGAGGTGCAGCGTAGGGATTATGACCTCCAGGATATCCACCCTATTAAATAATATTTATTACTTTTGTTAATGAAGATATATCAGCAAATACTCACACCATAAGACATTTTTAATTATAAACAATTCAAACAATTTCCAATTAAAAATGATTAACTTTACTTTCTCAGTATTTTAATTGTTTATTTCGATCAAATATGTTCTCGCAAATACCAGCACAGGGTTGTATATAAACGTATGGACATTATAGTGAAAATAGTCCAGCCCGTAAAGCCGCTGGTGGTGGTAAGCCCGATACAACTAGCACGACTTGTAGGCCAAATGCACCACACAGTGTATCTGCACATTACGTGTATTTACAGTGAGGGATGAACTTAAAACCTTTAATATAATTTAATAATTAAATTTACTAGGGGTCTTCATCCTAAAGTGATAAAGGGATAAATTACTTAAATTAATCAGTTTATCCGCATTCTTTCATGAACGCACCTTGGTAAATAATTGCATAAAACTGCTTCATTATTTAACTTATATGGCTAGTTTACTTTCATTCTTACCTCGTCTATTGTGTTCATTTGCTTTTATGTGTTCGTAGCAAAAGCGACTACCTGGCAACCTGTAAATGTCGAATTTTGCTGAAATTTATACATTTATCCACCAAAGTCGTTCGATAAAGTGATAAACCTTGGTCAAATGGATTTCCATACAAAGTTTGACAGTTCATTTATCAAAATGATAAATTTATCACTTTATCAAGTTTATCAAGAGTTTATCACTTTTGTGAAGGCACCTAGATTAATAATCCAATTTAAAACAATTTAGTTCTGTTTTTTTTTATCACTTTTAAATTTTCGTTTGGAATCTTTTCATGAACCAATGTATTAAGATATTATTTGGCAAATTAGCGTACATCCGACATCTGTTTATGTTTTTATGTCTTCACATTTTGGAAAAAAAAAGTTCAAGATACCTGTCAATTTTTAAACCCTTTTCGCATTCTGTGTACTCTTGTAACCGGTAAATTTTGTTACCATCTCATAAGCTGGTAACAAAGTATTGCCCCGTGAAATATGCAATGCCAGAATTTGCACAATTCTTCATAGCTGAATCGCTGAATATTTTAACTGCATTACCAACGTTCCTAGAATCGCGGTGACAAGAACTGGTAACATTTTTTGGTAATAAAATTTCCCGGTTACAAAATCTTCGGTAAGGCGCAGAATAGACCTGTTAGTGTCAACCATGCTTTGAGCAGCCGGCCCTAAATCACGCAAATATGTATTTTCGATGGTCATTATTACTTTTTATAATCAAGACGTTGCCATTTTTAACTTTATTTTCTCTTTCTATGGTCATATTATTACCTTTTTATAATCAGGCAGTATTAAAAAAGAATTTTTCATCATCGAATAAACAGTGAGTTAGGTATTTGGAAATGATTTCTAGTAAATGTCAAGTCGTTTTGTTTTGAGTGTTTGTTAGGGTCTGTGCCAATTGATAGCAAAGAGAAAAATTTGACGGATCAAGTAATGATTTGACATTTCTACGAAAAATCCTTAAGATACTAAAAAGTTCAACCCTGGAGGAGAAATAGTATGAAAAATACTGCATTTCACTTTTAAAAGGAGCTAACCGCAGAACTCCACAGGCAAACACCGATGGCCTGCCAACTGTCATTTTGACGAGCAATATGATTGCAAGTTTTTGTGTGTGGGCACTTTGATGTCTTGAAATTAGCATTTGCCGCCTGACGCCACCAGACAACATTCTCTCAATTTCGGTGTTTAAAAACTTTTAAATCCATAAAAAACTTGCTGAATAATTTCCTAAAACGTAATCATAAATAATCCAACAAGGTACAGATTTTTATTTTGACGTAATATCAAAATTTCATCGATGTTACCACCAGCACGCTTTCTTTCATATGAAAATATGGCTGTCAAACAATCAAATTACCTGCAATAGATGTCAAGCAATAAGCGCTGACATATATTGCAGCCTATGAGAAATAGTCGGTCTCCATTGGAAATATATTTTGTGACATGGTTATCACGACATCAGTGTTTTCCTGTGGAGACAGATAGTAAATTGTATTTACAAGCCAACCCGTTTTTGAACAGTGATTCGGTGTCAGCCGGGTGGTCAAATTGGAACCGATTGATCATGCGGTTCAGTTCTCTCGCTCGCTCTAAATTTTTTCATTGTGCAGTGAAAGCAACAACAATTGCTGACCAGGGATCATATGATCGTCTGCATAACTGGCCGTCTCCACAAGATAAAATTTATTGCTGTCCAGCTGTCATTTTGGTTGCTAATATAAATTATATCAGTAATTATTATTAGTATAATTGTGTGGGCTTGTTATATCTTGATATAAGCGTTTGTAAGATGGCTTCTAAAACGTGTTTTTGCCGTATTTAATCGCTTAAAAAATTTATAAAATAGGTTATTTACATCCAAGTACATAATAACAAATATTTTAATAGACAAAAGCTCAATATTTGCAAATGAAAAAGGATGCTGTCAAATGCCCATACAACAAAACTCTATCTCACTTACGAGAGAAAAAAGCAGAACGCAAGCGAGATTTTCGAGCATGTGAAGGCGGCCGGTAATCAAACGCACACAAACCAAAACACAATTGGCAAATGTCAACGAAATCCAAAGAAAGCGCGGTGGAAACAGGTTTTTAAGATTTCGAAGTCGAAAGCTCAGATTTCAGTACAGTGGGAATGTCATAAAAGAACAAAACTTAAGCTATGTAGTATGTGGCGTGAGAACTCACTGTAAATATATTTCAAAACATTCATTTCATTATCGATACATTTATCGCATATGTAGGTCCATCACAAAGACAGCAAAGCTATAAAAAGCCGGATTAGCGTAAACAAAAAATATTTACTGTTCCAAGTTTTTATACCTTCAAACATGGCGAGTTTTGTGAATCTAGAGATTTTTTCAAATTACCAGAAGTATATTGACAACGAACAGGAAATTCGAGAGGTTAGTTCAAGCAATTATCAAATGTTTTCTCATGGCACGATCATGCGAATATATGTACATATATATTATTTGTTCACAGAATATCAGAACAAAAGTTCGCGAAATCGAGCAACTCGCAAAAGAGGCTACAATTCAACTTCAGGTCATTCATTCCGACTTATCAAAGAGTAATGATCCTTATTGGGATTCTAAGCTGATTGTTAATTAATTTTCTTTTCAGTTGATAATGCATGTAAAGAAGCTCGTAAGCAGGTATCTGCTTGTGCCGGTATTTATAAACAGTTGTCTGAATTAATTCCTGTGGGACAGTACTATAGGTAATACACATATCGTCGTTTAAAGTACAAAACCGCGTATCAAGAAAATGCCAAACCGTTGCCAAAATTTTATAGGAGAGAGTAAAACTTGTCTTATTTCAAAACGGTTATCTCTTTTATCCCTAATTTTTTATAATACTTTAGTATGAATGGATAAGGGCTTGATGGCAGCAGCCTCCGGTGTGGATATATCTCTTTTGGCCCAAATGTCAGTTACGAGGTTTTGCAGAACCACGATACGCGGTTTTGTGCTTTAAACAACGATATCTACGTGTAAACAGATTTCCAACCTGAAGCGTTTGAGATAATTTAAAATTTTCCTTCCTTTAATCATTCCTCATCCTCTTTGCACTTTGAACTAAAGCTTCACGCGTTTTGGCTTTCGGGGCACATGTCTATATATAAAATTTATTGCTGAATATAGCCCTGAAATGATCAATTTCTGCTGTGAAGCTCTAGCTATATGGACAAATCTCCGGAACCAGGGTGCTTTTGTGTCCCTCACCTTTAAATTAATTTTATTAATGTAATTTTACTTTTTATAAAAAACTTTGGCCATTTTGAAACAATTGTGACGAGTTCTTGTAGCTTATTTAATTTTTTTATTTTAATATTGTCATTTTAATTTTTATAAACAATCAAAGTAATTAAAATAACGTGTAACTTTGGGTACCATTTGTACCTACGTTTTTTGAGTATAACTTTTTTAGCGCAAAACGGTATATGTTGGCGTTGAGAAAAATATGTGATTCTCATTGGAAATAAACTGTAACAATTTGAAACAGTGTCCAGATTGTTAAAAAAAAAAATGTGAAAAAATCGCCAAAAATCGCAAATTTTTTTCATAAAATTCATGAAATCGATTTAACAAATCTTTTATTTTAAAAATGTGATCTTTTTATAATATTGTTTTTAAGGCCAAAAACTAATATAATACCTTCAGAGGGTAATAATAAATAACACAAATCACTTATATAATAGTGATGTATAAACAATTTTCTTTAAAAATACGCATACTTTTTAAAAATATTTCTGTGTCTAATTTCGGCTTAGATCCTCATCCTTTCGGACTGAAAACATCAGTGCTGCAACGCTATGTGTGCTTTTGCACAAGTGACAAGATTTTCTTGATAATTTTTCTTACATTTTTTAAGTGCTCATTTACACACGGCGATTTTTGTTGCCGCAACTCTACGTTTGTAGGAGAAGCGTGACGAGGAAAGGAGAGGGGCACCGAGTTGCTCGTGCTCGGGCAACACGCTTTGTGCTCTGTGTAAATTGAGTTAGCGGTTCACAGCTGACAACAACAATTAAATACACAAAAATCGTCGTGTGTAAATGAAATGAGCAACACCAAAAGGAAATGTGAAAAATCGTGTCGACAAAAGTTTCCGTGTATAAACGCAGTCTAATCAAATCAAAAAAATGCAAATCAAAGCAAAGAAAAATTTGTAATCATCAAGGCACATTAAACAGGTAGTATCAGTAGAGCAATAACAACTTGCGTGTATTTTGTTGTTGCTTCTGGTATCGAAAGTGTCAAAAACTGTTCTGAATTTTTTCTTCTAAATCAAAGCGTGCCATGTGAAATACAAAAAATTATAAAAAATAAAAAATTGAAATTGGAAAAAATAAAAATTGATGCAACTTTCTTTCCTAGTAAATTTGTTTGCTTCTCGAAGCATTGATCCATCCTTTGCAAGGGCCAGTAATCAGCGGTTGTGCTGCTGAGTTGGGCGAACGTTCCAAAAGCTGCTATTCAATCGCTTGTTTTGTATGGAAAAAGGTTTCACATGCAAATGGATTTTAACAATTCAGAATTTTTGTGAGAAAAAATTAAAAATATTTGACATTTTCGAGACCAAATAATTTGAAAATAAATCAAATCAGCTGCTCTACTGATACTACCTGTTCAATGTACCTTGGTAATCATAAATTTTCAAATAAGAGTACCGAAATAGGGTCATTGCTATCTGGCACACTTTATATTATTTCACTATGCAGTTTGTGCCTTTCAAAATGTTGAAAATATAACAAATATTGTCTGAATATTAGATAGCACACTCACAGACTAAAACATAAGAGGTTGGCATTAAGCGTGATCGTTAGATAATATTCTTCATAAAGTTCGTTGAAAATGCTAAATACATTAAATAATTTTTGTCTAAAATACGGCCATGAATATATATGTGATTGTGTATATAAAGGATTTTCAGATATTTGGGCAGTGCGGTTAACGAGTTTTTAAATATATACTCAAAAATTATATTTTCAACGTATCTTAAGCGAAAATTAGTTTTTCGTAAAATTTGTATCTCGAAAACCACTTCACCAATCTGTACCAAATTTTATATACACATTGCGCCCGACCTTCTTAAATACCATCTTGAAAATTTTTGAAATCGGACAAAAACCCTCTAGAAGTATCGCTAACATTTAGTTTTCAAAAATTATCAATTTTAACTTATAGCTCTATAAGCATTTGAGAAAAATTAATCACACAAGAAGTTAATGTTTCCTCCATGGCGCAATAAACAGGTTTCCGCCATGGTTTCCTCAATAGATTTCAAACAATTTGATGTATAATTTATTTTTGTGCGTTCAATTTAAGAATTTACACTTTTTAGCTTTGAATCGCACTGTTCCGGAGATTTTCCCATATAAATTACATAGTTTTCGCTTTGTTATGTATATGTATTTCAATATTTTCAGATACTCGGATCATTGGACATATATTACGCAGCGCCTAGTTTTTCTTATTGCAATGGTTGTTTATTTAGAAGCAGGATTTTTAGTAAAACGAGAAATCGCAGCAGAAATGTTGGGCCGTAAGTGTTACTATTATTATTTAAATATTGATTGTTTCGTAATATTATTATTGTATGTTCCATTGGCAGTGAAAATCAATCATGCAGATGGTTTCCATCTCGATATAGAAGACTATTTAATGGGCATTTTACAAATGGCTTCGGAACTATCTCGCTTTGCAACCAATTCAGTAACTATGGGTGACTATGACCGCCCTCTAAACATATCTCACTTCATGGCTAATTTAAATTCTGGCTTTCGTCTACTCAACTTGAAAAATGATGGGTTGCGGAAGAGGTTTGATGCCTTAAAATATGACGTGAAAAAAATTGAAGAGGTGGTTTATGATATTAGCATACGGGGACTAAGGAACAATCCATCTCTAGACTGTAAGGAAGTAGTGGAGGACCCACATGAACAGTGCGGAGAAGATGTGGTAAACGATAATTAAAGTTGCGGGATATAGAATTTGTGATTTGTTTCTTGTCTTGAAATACTAAAGTAATACAATTATTTTGCTATAAATTGCTTGACGCAATGCAACATGTGTTTAATTGCACCCGAGGTAAAAACTTCAATCCATTTTTTTTTTATTTTTTTTAGCAAATAATACATCCTTGAGTTATTCCTCACCTTGAAAATTTTAGAGTCCAACTCAGGATAGTTGATAAAATGATACTCAATGATTATATTCATATCAGGAGTTCCATAACCACAAGAAATATGTAAATCCGTTTCCTAGAATTGCTTTGATCTTGTAAATATTTTTCAAGTTATGCCAGGTGCATTTTTGGAAGTGATACATTTTGGTTGCGATTTAGTTGAAATATAAGGATCGACGCAAAATTATATATGTACATCCACAATTCACTAATTGAAAAGCGAATAATTTTCAAACTCAAATTTAACTTTAACATATCAATAACGCTTTGCAACTGTATTAATTTATCAGAAAAAGGCGTAATTATTTGCCGCTAAATGGATTGAAAAAGGAAGGGTTGCAACCTTCCAGTGCGAGAAAAATTACGAAATACATCCGAAAAAGTTACTGTAAGTTTGAGGGTGGCCCGAGTGAAATATGAAACTAGGTAAAATTTGAAATCCCATATTTCTCTCCATTATCTCAACTTTGACCAACGGTTATTTCAAAAATTCTATGAAAGGTGACAAATGTTACTTATCTAAAAGCACATTTATTTTCGGACAAATTCACACGCATTTAATGAAAACGGTAAAAAAAATTAGGGAAGACGGGCAATTAAGGTAGAAATACGGTCTTGCCGATAATGATAGTTTACATACATACGTACTATATACATACATACATACACGAATAGGATTGTGACAATCAATGTGAATTTGATGTGTTTTTGAAAGAGTTAGCGGTTAATGACCAGCGGTGATGCTCAGTCATAAAAATGTGGGAGATTTTAAGTCCACGGCCATTAAAACGCTAATCGTTCATAAGAGTTTACCGATTCCTTATCGCATTGCGCACATCAGTATTAAAAACATACATGCGGTAAAGTTAATTTTTTTTTGTTGCAATAGGATGACCAGATTTGAATCCGACTCGCTTCGGAAACTGATTAATACGAAGAAACTAGCTATGGCCAAATACAAAACATTTAATAATAACAATAATAGATTGGCGCTTACACATATGTATGTTAATGTTTGGCCGAGCTTCTCCTCCGACTTGTGGCGTGCGCCTTGAAGTGGTCACACCAAGCGGAGGGACCTATAGTTTTACGCCGACTCCGAACGGCGATTCTATTTTTGTGAGAAGCTGTTTTTCATGGCAGAAATACACTCGGAGGTTTGCCATTGCCTGCCGAGGAACGACGGCTGTTAAGAAAGAAACTTTTTCTATATTTTTTTCGATGTTGCTTTGACCAGGGCTTGAACTCAGGTGCTGAGGATTGAAAGCGCGCACTGCTTACCACTACACCACAATAAAATGTGCTTTATTTTGGGTTCTTTATTTTTGACGGTCTTTAATTTATTGTCATTAGGGCGGTACGTTAGGGTGGTAGCAACTGAGATCTGGTGGGTAAGTACCACAATGGTACACTTGAGGTAAATTTTTATATAAAATTAACGAAAAAATGTATCACGTAAAACATTATGAATATTGTAAAAAATAAAAGTGTGCTATTTAGGTGAGCGCCACTGTCACTACATATATCAGCGACTATATCAAATTGTGAACGTACATATGTATGTAAACATTTACTCAATGCTTAGGGTGCGAACAGAGTGGCCGCTTGTTGCCGAGCCGAGCCGACTGACGCTTATTGCGAGAACTTGTTCATGCGAGAAACAAGTTTGAGTGTGCATAGTGGATGCGAGAATCAGCGCTGATATTTTATCTATTATTTGTGTTTTATGTATGTTTGTATGCATTTGGGTTTGTTGTTCATTCGTGTTTGTGAAATTGAAGTGAAAAGATATGGATTCGTCAGATGATGAGTATTTAGCTTCGGCTACTGTTTTAAAGTATTTTATCAATAAAATATCATTTGGAAAACATCCAATAAATGATAAACGAAGTGAATTTGGAGAATTTCATCACTTATATAGTGATTTAAAATAAATAAATAAAAAAATAAATAAAAAAGATTTTTTAATAACAATAATTTATTTATTAGGTTTTTCTTATGTATTTTATATTAATCGAAAATTTTTTTTTATAATTTTTATTTTATTTTTATTATGTTTTTTAATTTTTTATATGTATATTTTATTTACTTCTTTTATTACATTTTTTTTTAAATTTTGTTTATGTTTTTTTTTAATTTTTTTACTATTGTTATAATTTTATTTAATTTTTATTATTTATTTGAATTTTTATTTTTTTGTTTAATTTTTATTTTATTTTTTAATTTTTATTTTATTTTTAAATTTTATTATTTTTTTAATTTTTTGATTGCATGTTTTATTAACTTTTTCTTAAATTTTTGTTTTTAATTTTTTTTTATGTTTTCCAAACAAGTTGAAATCATAACAACATAACATAAACAATGTTTCCGGCGCTGAAATACGCTTTGGAACTGTTTTCTCGCATTCAATCAGCTTTGCGCTCTGACCAGCTCGGTGCCCACTATGACCTGTTCGCGCTTATTTGTACTAATTTGTATAGTACCAGTTTTCTCGCATTGGTTCTCGCAATAAGCGTCAGTCGGCTCGGCTCGGCAACAAGCGGCCACTCTGTTCGCGCCCTTAGATTCGGTTTTTCGCTTATTGATTTGTTTATTCACTTTTGCAAACTCAAAAACAAAACTCGTCAGAGTTCAAAGTCCTAATGTTGTATACAGAATATGTATGCATGTAAATACATATGTATATACAGTGTACTCTCTCTTAAGCGGACACCTGAGGGACTGACAAATTTGTCCGCTTATGAGAGGTGTCCGCTTATGAGAAAGGTAAAAAAAAGAAAATGTGTAATATATTTATCTGTATGTAAACAGTTTTATTCCCAAAATAAGAACATATAAATAATAGACAAGGTCAACAGGGCTTTCATTCACTTTTTTTCGAGAATTTAAAAAGCAAAAATATTCAAAATATTAAAAGAAGTCAGAAATTTTAGCTTTGCGAGTTTTTCCTTTAATTTTAATGGCCCGTAGTCATAGTCAAAATAAAGTCGACTTTAAAGTTAGTTGCAGCTTTTTTGACAGATATCCCATTGAAAATTATGTCAAAAAGCTGCAACTAACTTTAAAGTCGACTTTATTTTGACTATGACTACGGGCCATTATCTTTATGTATTTGAAGATCAGTAAGTAGTCAACGCCCTTAAGATCGCTGTGATTTAAAGAAAAGCTTTTAGTTTTCTTATAACTAAATAAGGCTCTTCATCTTCTGAACTTGATTAATAACGTTGGAGGACTGAGCAAGTGCTGATAGAGGAAGCTCATCTTCGGCGGTCCAACCGCTATCGTCATTGGGCAAATCAGGGCTCGAATCGTCACATACGATATCGTACTATTCGTCACGTAAAAGTACATTTTTCGGATCATGACATACGTGAACGTACTCTTTGTCCCATTCAGCTTATACTGCCTGACGTATCACGTAATTTTCTTTCGTATCGTTTTCGATCCGTGAACGGATGTGACGATTCCAGCCCTGTTTTCCCATACATACAAGTGTTATTGAATAAGCAACAGCTGTATAGAAAAGAGGAAAAAAAAAAAACGGCGTTGTAGGCTATCCGGTTATGAGGAATTAAAATACCCGTTTGTGTGGTAAACAAGTGTATGCGTCCTGTTATGAGAGGGTTGTCCGCTCAAGAGGGGAAAATAAAAAAATCCCCGAAGGATTTTTTTTTTTGGTATTAAAAAAGTGTCCGTTTATTGGAGGTGTCCGTTAGGAGAGAGTACACTGTACATGTGTTTGCTTGTATATATGTATGTATGCATGTATGTACGTACGTACACAGAATTGCGTCCCACTCATTTCTAGCAACAAGTGCGCCACAGATCCAATCAGTTCGTATCTGAGAAGTATTCTCGAGTAGAAGATCGCCACCTATTATGGTGGTCGACATCGACGTCCATGTAATTTTTTCGTCAAATACTGCACTTTGAAGTTTTCTGGCACATGGTTGCATTTTACGTTAAGTTTCGGGCAAGAAAATGGGTTTTTTGTATTCCCGTGGTTTCGGGCTATTTATTCACTTTTATGAGAGTATTTCGTACTTACGCTCATTTGCCCGAAAATTAAAAAAAAAAAAACAAACCTAAAATGGGCTCGGAAATATTTTTTTATGTGAGGAATTTCGAGTTGATACTACTTTTGAAGGACACGTACGATATCTAAAAACACGATTCGAGGGCGGCATTCGATGCCGCTGAGGGAACAAATGCGCTACTTATTTCAAATATTGCCACATCCTCTTAAGGCCTAAGCATGAATCAATTTAATCCGGCGTTTTTTGACAGCAAAAGAATGGTGAGGTACACAAGATGCATGAAATAAGGGAAGATTTAAAGCAGTACTTATGAGAACAAAATATTGAAATCAAAATTTGTAAGGGAAGCGATTTTGAGATGATCATCAAAGACAACAGATGACTACAAATTTTCATGTTTGGAGAACACAAGAACATTTTGAAAAGAAAATAGCGAAACAGCAAACTAAAGGCTGGATTAACTTTAAAATTCTTGTATATTTTCGTTTCGTACGTTACAATTTTTCGTCGAAATGTGCTTAGAAAATAAGTAATAATAAAAATAGATTGGCGCTTTGGCCGAGCTGCTCCTTCGATTTGTGGCGTGCGGCTTGAAGTTGTCACACAAGGCGGAGGGACCTATAGTTTTACGCCGACTCCGAACGGCGATTGTATTTTTATGAGAAGCTGTTTTTCATGGCAGAAGTAAGTACACTCGGAGGTTTGCCATTGCCTGCCGAGGGGTGACCGCTGTTAAGAAAAAACCTTTTTTCTAAATTTTTTGCGATGTTGGTTTCACCAGGGCTTGAACCCAGGCGCTGCGGAGTGGCAGCTTTTGTTGCTTTCACATACAAAATTCTTCTTTAAACGACCGGAACTCAAACATAGCGAGCAAGAAGTGGCGAATCGATGACGGCTATTTATTACATTCATTTGTCGAAAAAGGTTGTAAGCGCCACCGGCAAAGATGCTAGGCTTACTGGAAAAACGTGTTATCATCCATTGGGATTTGGATATAAAACGTTTTTCCATCATTAAAATTTTGTAAATCTTTTTTTGACTTGAAAGATATGTATGTATGGATATACATTTGAATTCACGGGCAATTTCTTGGAGACTGCTGCACCGAAAAATGGAAAACTAAATCAAATTACTTTATGTGCGTCGTCAAAAACGTTTTTTTTCGATTCTTGAAAACTTATAATTATGTCGCTTACAACGTTATTCGCGGCGACCATTCATTTGTTTTTGAAAAATGTATTTGCTAAGGGCTTATATAAACTCGATAACTGCCTCGAGCTTCGTTCTTTTAACTTTGTCAGCTTAAAAATTAAATATTCGTCCTTGTGAATCCAAAAAAAAAATTTAATTTTTTTAATTCTAAAGAAATTTCCTATTGCATTTGTTACCCATATTTTTATTCTACATTGCACTGAATTTTTTTTTTTAACAATTTTTGGAATTAATCATATCTTTGAAATTACAAAGTCCTTCAAAATAAATCCTGCGGTCAGAGAGAAAAAATAAAAACGCCACTTTAAATAAAAAAATAGGTTTCAAACCCATTTATTATTATTTTTATTTCATGGTAAGAGAGCTTCTCAAACAATATAGAAGCAATTTTTTCGATTCAAGTTGTTGAAAAGTAATGAATATCTAAAGCCGAAAAATTAACATCCCTAATGTAGACCCACAGTCCGAAGATGTTGTTGAGTGTATTTGGCCATGATCAGACTATACTTAGCACAAATGATGGCTAATGAAGTTTATTTATTCCCAATTTGAAGTGTAAGGAGTTTAGTATTTGTTCTATGTACTGAGAAACTCGTGCTGTGAGTTCTATTTGTACTTGATTTTTACAAGGCTGTTTTTGAGTTATTAGATTCTTCCAGCAAATTAGGGATTTGTATGAACAAGATCTCTGGTAATTTTTGTATGCAATATTTATAAGAAATGCGATTTCTTATTTGTAAACATAGCTGTTACACACCTCCTTTTTTGCCTGAGGCTTAGTGTGTAGTGTAGTATGGTATGTACCTAGTATACGTCACCTATGTATTTACATATGTATGTATGTACATACATTAATTTTTGTACTTGCCTCCAAATAGTGTTATCTACTTGGATACATTTGCACGTAAATATTGTGCATATCTACTTATGTACTTATCCACACATACGAGCACATGTATACATATGTACATATGTACATATCTTCTAATATCCCAGTTGGCAAAATGAGGAGCGTTTCTAAATAAACGCCTTGTCTTTGGAAGCTTTTTTTTCTAGAAGATCTTCCAATAGCGCTGACACTCGAATGCACACGAGAAAGGGGGTTTCCATGGCAGTGAAAGTTAAATAAGTATCTCTTAATAGTCCCGCCATTCGAAGAGAGACGGGAAAGTGTGTTTCCAGGGCAACCAAAATCAAATAACAGAAAAAATGGCAGTAGACACATCGGTGTAGGTCGAATACAAAGTTAAATTAAAACCATTTCATTATTATTTCATTTACAGGCATGTTCTGAAATTCGAAAATTTGAAATTGACTCGATTTCGATAATTTTTTCGAAGGTTTTTAACCCAAAAATTTAAAAGTCTCGCATTAAAATTATGTATTTCATATCACTGCTACTTCTTTTACGGTTTTCAATTAGAATATTCACTCTTGTCATCAGATATAATTAAAAAATATTTGGCAAATCGAGTCGATTTCAAAGTTTCGAATTTCAGAACATGTCTGTTAAACTTTTCCCTTCTAAGAGAAACTGAATGAGAAGGCCGGGAAACGCTGGCCATTCCATACAAAATGAATGATGAGTAAAGAATCGGGCACAGAAGGCCTATCGATTCAAAAGAGCCGAAATAAGGGCTCCAGGAAGGCCTTTTGCTTTCTTATTTTGCCGACTGGCATTTTTTCTGTAAACAAAATTGTGTTATTGTTGAAGTTAGCACAAATAGAGCGCCTTCGGCTGTTGTTTCGAAAATAGTTTCGAATGCTGGATGTATGTATGTACATTAGGGTGGTCCAAAAACAGTAAGGTCGGAATTATAATGCTCTCACCCTCTAGGATTGTTCTATATTGGAAAAAAGTATACCACCATTTTTATACCCGAGCGCACTTGTGCACAAGGGTATATTAATTTTGTTCACATAACGGTTGTTTGTAACAGCCGAAATGAACCGAGATAGGCATAGAAAAATGTATACATAAATGATCAGAATGAAAAGAGAATTCCATTAAGCCATGTCTGTCTGTCCGTCCGTCTGTCCGTCCGTCTGTCCGTC